TCTCTCTCTCTCTCTCTCTCTCTCTCTCCACCTCTTTCATTTTTTCTTTCCACCTCTCTCTGTCTCTGTCTCTCTCAGACAAATAAATATCATTGGATAAATGTTAATAATGTTAATAAAAAAGCAAATTTGCATTTTTAAATAAAAACGTGCGTGTGATATTTGCTCATGTTTTGCGGCTCTCAAACACCCGACATTTATTCTATGTGGCTCTTATGCTGAGCAAGCTAAGAGGACAACTGACTCCTGGAGCCCATAAAATAAAACTGCTTTGCTCAGATCTGGAACGGAATAGGGAGACAGCCAGGACTGGAGTCAAACTGCTGTCAGTGAAGCTTTGCTAGTGGAACCGGACTTTCCCACCTCTTTTTCCCCACTACATCCCGTTGAATTAACACATGGAATTCACTGCCACAGGAAGTGGCAGCTACAAGCATAGACAGCTTCAAGAGGGAATTGGATAAACATGTGGACCAGAGGTCCATCAGTGGCTATTAGCCACAAGGTATAGATGGAACACTATGTCTGGGACAGTGATGCTCTGTATTCTTGGTGCTTGGAGGGCCACAGTGGGAGGGCTTCTGGAGTTCTGGCCCCACTGGTGGACCTCCTGATGGCCCCTGAGTTTTGTCCACTGTGTGACGCAGAGTGCTGGACTGGATGGGCCGTTGGCCTGATCGAACATGGGTTCTCTTTGGTTCTTTTGTCTCGGGCAACGATCTTCTTGGGGCTTGGGGGTCACAGTGGGAGGGCTTCTGGAGTTCTGGCCCCACTGGTGGACCCCCTGATGGTACCTGGGTTTTGGCCACTGTGTGACACGGAGTGCTGGACTGGGTGCCCTCTAAGCCAGTGTAATTGCTGTAATATCACATGCTCCTGATAGCTGGCACCAATCAGCAGTCTAGCTGCAGTATTCTGCACTAGCTGCAGCCTCCAAACACTCTCCAAGGGTGGGCCTTGAGCGATGGGTGAACACTTTTTATTCCCATTCCCTCTGACCACTCTGAGAGCAACAACTGGGGGAACTTCCAACATGGTGTTTCTCGATTCAGTGAATGTTAATGTTCTTCATGTCGCCGACAACGTGGGCCAATATTCCACGTCCTCCCCCCCTTCTATTTTCTATTCTCTCTCTCTCTCTCTCTCTCTCTCTCTCTCTCTCTCGCTCTCTCTCTGTCCTTCGCATTTCCTGTTTGCCTATTTCTAATCCCCAGGGCACCAGGGCAAATATGTTTTGCATTCAGTCGAAGAGCTGCTTTTGTTACCTCGAAATGGGCTTCCCCTATGGTAATGTCGCTGTCAGGAACAGTTAGCGTGACGCGTGTCGCTCCTCAAGCCGCAGCCCAGCTAATTCGTTTCTATTTATTTTCCAGGACACCTTTGCACTACGCAGCTGCAAACTGTCATTTCCAATGTATGGAGATGCTGGTGACCACGGGGGCCAATATTAACGAAACAGATGACTGGGGACGGACAGCTTTACACTACACTGCCGCCTCGGACATGGACAGAAAGTAAACAAGCTTATTTGTATTCCTTGTTTCTACTGGGTTGCTAAGCCTCCCCATCATTCCTTTTTTCTTTGCGCAACAGCCTTGTTTAGGCAGAAATACTCCGCGATAGGGGGGCCGCAGTAGCTCAGAGGTTAAGATCCTGAGCTGCAGACTGGAAGGTCTGTAGTTCGGCAGTTCGAGACCCTAGAGTCAGATTCGACTGGCTTTCAAACAAGGGAAACCTTTTCCTTTCCCTTTACTGACTCCGCTGTACCTGGTGTTTCTTTTTCCTTTCCCTTGGCTACTGGATTTATTTTGCATACCCCTTCCTTCCTATGTACTGAGGCCGTAACACAGCTGTGTCGTCTATCTGTTAGGCAGCGGGATCACCTACAAAATGCTTGCCTTGAGTTCTCGCGTTCTTGCAGATGCAGAAATCCTTTCCCCCTCTGTGTACATAGGCAGAATTTCCCAGCGATGTATATGAAACTGTTGGGATGTTTGGTTAATGTAGCAGAGTTTGCCCAGTCACAGAAGCGTGATACTGAGTGCAGTAAACAAAACACCCAAGAAGTATGTTGCAGAAAAGGGGAACTTACATTTATTCATGTAGATGCAGTTCGCATTCAGGTTGTAATCAAAAGAAGAGAGAGAAGCCTAATCCAAAGAGTTCTTTATCACAAATGGCCAGCTTGTCTAGCATCATGCGTGTGGGAGAATGAGGGCACTGTATCCACAGGAGAGACCTGCAGAGGCATTTGTCTCCATGGAAGGCCATGTGAGGAGAGGGGGAGGACAAAGTGAGTGAGAGAGGAGAGGACAGAGGGCAGCTCCCAGGTTAAGACAAAGAGAGGCATCCCATTCAAGGAGATAACACCTACACACACTTAGAGTAATGTAGCGCTCCCCAGTGTCTAGCTATGCTGAGTTGTTCACTCCAACAGAAGCACCATTGTTGGAGTCACTTGGATTCCGTAGACATGTTGGACAAGTTAGATCCTTATGATACTAATTCAGATAGGACTGCTTTTCATGTAGGTAGGGGTAGGGCGAATTCCCATGGCTGGAAAAAAATTCACAGAAAGGTGTTTCCTTGACTTTCCCCATTGGTTTGCTGTTTCTGTTCTCCCAAGTGGAGCGTGCAGAGGCAGTTTGTGATTGAGGGCAATACCAGTTATCCAGTAGTTGGATAATCCGGGTGATCCGTCACAGAGGGGTTGTCCCTGGTAACGAAGCATATCCTTTTCGATATCTGGGATGAGGGATTTGTTCATGGTTTGGAACGTTTTAAAGAACCTGAAGAATTAGCAGTGCCAACCAAGTGTAATACATTTCGCATTCTAACTACTCCGTTGTGGATTCGTGTGTGCGAGAGTGGGCGACCGGAATCCCAAAAGAACATTGCCCAGTGTACATATCCCTCCAATACTTGTCAAATATCCTGATCCCATGATTATAAGCATCTTCTTCCTCCTTCCTCTTTTTGAAAAAAACGTTCCACTCAATATTCAATTCACAACTGGGTGAATTTTTGTCTTTCTATCCTAAGAAGTGAGCTGTGACTCACGAAGGCTCATACCCTGCCACACATTTTGGTAGTCATTCAGGTGCTACTGGACTCCGGCTATTTTGTCTTTGTGGTTTACCTTGTACCACAGATGTTAATCTCTGTCCCTCTGTCTGCAATGTCCAATGGTTTATTACCTAATGGTGTCTACGTAACATGATAAAGATTCCAAACCAGCCGAGGGCATACTCCAGATGCAAAGAAGAAGAAGAGATTGGATTTATACCCCGCCCTTCACTACCCAAGGGAGTCTCAGAGTGGCTTACAAACTCCTTTCCCTTCCCCTCCCCACAACAGACACCCTGTGAGGTAGGTGGGGATGAGAGAGCTCTTGACAGAAACTGCTCTTTTTCAAGAACAGCTCTGACAGAACGATGGCTTGCCCAAGGTCATCCAGCAGCTGCGAGTGGAGGAGTGGGGAATCAAACCTGGTTCTCCCAGATTAGAGTCCGCCCACTTAACCACTACACCAAACTGGCTCCAACCAAGATATTATTAAGGCCTCTGTCAACTGAAAATGATTTATTGGCCTTGGAATGTTATGACTGAAGGCTGTGAAAGAAATCCCTTTGAGACTATAAAGGTGAAAACTTTCGTGACAGCGAAACAGGATGGGTTTTCATGAAAGGGGAAGAAGAAGAAAGGCTGAAAGAGTTGGATATGTTTAGCCTGGGAAAGAGAAGGCTTAGAGGGGAAATGATTGCAGTCTTTGAGTATTCGAAGGGCTGTCATGTAGAAGATGGAGCAGATCTATTCTCTCTTGCTCCGGATTGCAAGACTAGATCTAATGGGTGGAAATTACAAGGGAGTCGTTACTAGCTAAATATCAGGAGAAACTTCCTAACTGTAAGAGTGGTTGAGCAGTGGAACAGTCTGCCTCGGAAGGTGGTGGATGCTCCTTTGCTGGACGTTTTCAAGCGGAGGCTGGACAACCATCTTTCGGGTATGTTGTGGGGCTATCTTTCGGCTCTGCTCCTGCAGAGTGTAGGGGGTTGGACTAGATGACCTGCAAGGTCCCTTCCAACTCTAACATTCTATGCTTCTACGAAAGGAAATGAGCTCAGATTTAGACTCTCTAAGGGTTGCTTCACGTGTTGCACTTCAGCAAATCGAACTTATTTATTTGAGCATTTTTACAGTCTGCTGTTGTAAATCAAACGGGTTTCTAAAGTGGAGACAAGAGTTAGAATGTGCACTTGGTACTGTTTGTTCGCGTGAGAAAGGCCTGCGAGCAATCTCTGGCACACGCACCTGCTTGATGTAAGCATCTGAAAAATGTGTATGCTTGCATGCGCACTGTTTGATCAGTATGCATAGCTGCAAAAAAAAGTAATACATGCAGCATGCACTAGAAATTGGAGATGCTTGTCTTCTATTTTTGGCCAAAATGTTTAAAATTCTTTCAAAATTATTGTAGGATATTCTGGCAGAAGCTTGGATCCCAGTGATAATTTCGGTAGATGGAAGGCATTTGTGCTAACAGGATGGAATGTGCCTCCCCTCTTTCTCTGCGTCCCCTGGAACAGCATGAGGGGCAGTTAGAGGACCTGCAGTGAGAGGGAGGAGTTGGTGAAAATCACACGCAGACACCTCCTTCCACTTGCAGAACATAATATTGGGATCCCATCTAGAATTTTTTTCCATTAGGTAACTAGACTCAAGAGCTAGGTTTGGTGTAGTGGTTGAGTGCGCGGAGTGGTTTCCCACTCCTCCACTTGCACCTGGCTGGATGACCTTGGGCAAGCCATAGTTCTGATAAGAGCTGTCCTTAAAAAAGAGCAGTTTCTGTCAAGAGCTCTCCCATCCCCACCTACCTCACAGGGTGTCTGTGGTGGGGAGGGGAAGGGAAAGGAGTTTGTAAAACGCTCTGAGACTCCCTTGGGTAGTGAAGGGCAGGGTATAAATCCAATCTCCTCTTCTTCTTCTAGCAATATGGCTGGGCAAACGATTGGTTCTCTCTCTCTCTCTCTCTCTCTCTCTCTCTCTCTCTCTCTCACAGACAAGGTTGCAAAGAGTACAAACAAACAAATACAAATACAATACCTTTATTGGCACCTGGGTGCCGGTAGGTAGCCCCTCCCCCCCTACTTCATATGGCCCTAGTTAGGAAGAAAGCGTTCTTAGAACACCCTGTAAACCGCCCAGAGACCCCTAGGGGTCAGGGCGGTATAGTAAGTCGAAGGAAATAAATAAATAAAATAAATAAATATCAAATACAATATGCAGCATAGAGCTTCAAGATAGGCCGGGGGGGGGTAATCACATTCTGAATTGCCTTAATATGAGCCTCTCCATGTTGCAAAGAGTAACCAGGGTCCAGTCCAAAACTCAGGGGTTCCAGAGAGCAGGTATGCCAAGTCCAGTCTAGGGTCAAAGAGTTCCAGGCAACAAGTCCAAGTCCAGTCCAGGGTCAGGGGTTCCAGAAAAGCCGATAGTGAGGTCCAGTCCAAGGGTCAAGGTTTCAGTGGTCCGGTAACAGCAAGGTCAGTGGTTCAGTAGCAACGTGTACTCGTAGCGTCCACAAAACTGCTGTTTCTCCCAGCTGATTTTATAGCCAAGTCTTAACAAGCTACACTCCCAGCCAATCCCTTGGCAGCAGTGTTCCCTCTAAGCTGAGTTAGTGTGAGCTAGCTCACCGTTTTTTTAGCCTCCGGCTCACACATTTTTGTTGTAGCTCAGGAAGGATGGCTTCAGAGCGAACTAATTTATGCAGGAGCCCAATTGCTCACTCACAGCTTTAATGGCAGTGGATCACAAAGTAGAATTTTTGCTCACAAGACTCCCCAGCTTAGGGAGAGTGTTGCTTGGCAATCATCTCGAAACTGCTCATCCGTCTCGTCAGTTGACAGCTGACAATGGGCCACAATTTTCGCACTCCTTCTCCTTTCCTGCAACTTTGTGCACCTCTGATAGCGTCGGTGCTGCAGGGGTGCAGGTGAGCTAGGAGGGCTGGGAGTGGCTTCTGAACCTTGTCTACAGCTTCAGAGCTACAAGGTGTTGGCTCAGTTTCAGCTGTAGGCTGTGACTCCTGATCAGCTGGTAACCTGATCTCTTACCCTCCTCCTGGCTCAGAGCCAGCTGCAGCTGGTTGTTCAATTACTGGCTGAGTGCTGGCTGCAGGCAGCTCTTTGTCTGAGGAATTTGTGCTGTCACTGAGCACAGAGTGACTTACGGCAATAAGTCCCGTAGTAGTAGATGAGATAAATATACCCTGTTTTCCCGAAAATAAGACCTACCCAAAAAATAAGCCCTAGCAGGATTTCTATGCATTTGTGGTATAAGCCCTAGTGTGTCTTCTTGAGAAAAAATAAATATAAGACAGTGTCTTATTTTCGGGGAAACACGGTAGGTAAAACTTTAAGAATATTAACGTTGCCGTTTTGGTTCAGACTACTAAAATCCATTTCGTTGAGGGTCCTACTTCTAATGGTCAGGAAGATTTAACTGAAAATTGTTTTAGAAGCATCCTAGGTCAGAAAGTTTGGACAGATTTACACCATATATGGGTCACTGTGTCTTGAGTTCCCACAAAAATGAAACATTACACAAAAGTGTAATGGTATGCCTTGACTCTGTTAATGAAACTCTGGAAACTTTTGATTAAGAGCAGAGCTAGATTTCTAGGAATCACTCTGTTCAGACAATGGACAGGATGTGGGAACTTTATTTGTGAGGGGTGAAGTCAGGCAGTGTTATGAAGTTGGTACCATCTGTCAATGAGGATTTCTGTTCAGTCAGGACCTCTGATTCCCATTAAGGGAGGTCGAGTTCACTGAGCATATGTTCTTTAGTTGCCCATATTATAAGGAGGCTCGTTTGAAGATCATTACACCATTTCTGGATAAGACTCCTGGCTGTACAAACAAAGTGAAGCTTGGTAGCCTTTTAGCTGATAAGAATCCTAAGATCACCTGTCAAGTAGCTAGATTTTGTGTACTGATTCGGAGGTTAGGGAAATTGTATTTTAATTAGGAGGAGGAGGAGATTGGATTTATACCCCGCCCTTCACTATCCGAAAGAGTCTCAGAGAAGTTTAGAGACTCCTTCCCTTTCCCCTCTCCACAACAGACACCCTGTGAGGTAGGCGGGCTGAGAGAGCTCTGACAGGAACTGCTCTTTTTCAAGAACAGCTCTTGTCAGAACTATGGCTTGCCCAAGGTCATCCAGCAGGTGCACTTGGAGGAGTGGGGAATCAAACCCGGTTCTCCCAGATTATAGTCCGCCAGATTAGAGTCTCCCAGATTAGGTGCCACATTTTAATCTTGTTATTTTGTATATTCTGTATTCTGTATGTAATTTTTTTTAATTATAGCTATATGCATATGGCTGGTCTAGTGACCGTAATAATAACAAAATAAAATCAAGGACCTCTGATTTAGAATAGGCTGCAATCCTACGGGGAGTTTCCTGAGAGTAAGCCCTGTGGAATAACACGAGACTTACCTTTGAGTAGACCTGCTCATGCTTGCTACCTCAGTTGCCTATACTGGTTGAAATATTATTATTATTTAGCACATTTTTAATGCATTCATTTTCTGTCATATTACAAAATACGGTGCGAGGAAGCTGGCTCGTACATGGATCTCCATCTCTGAATGTCCTCCGCACAAATGCCCTTGGTTGCCACTTGCCTGAGCAGTCGCTTTGAACCTCTGCTATACCCATAGCGAGTTACACACAGTTGCAGAGCATTCTTATGTTCCTGCAGTCCTTTACGGAGCTGCCAGAGCTGAGGGAATCGCTGTCACTGTGTATAAAAAGGTACATGTGTACAGCTGAATCGTACGCTGTTTCTTCCATGCAAATGTTAGCAGCTGGGAGACCAAGGGCTAATGGGCAGTAGGTTCAGAATGGACAAAAGGAAATACTACTTTACACAAAGAGTGACGAAAATGTGGAATTCACTGCCACAGGATGTAGTGATGTGACCAGAGGAATAAACAGCTTTCAAAGGGGATTAGATAGATTCATGGAGGAAAAGTCTATCGATGGCTACTTGCCATGGTGACTGAGGGTAACTTCCCCATTCAGAGGCACTAATCCACTGAATCTCAGAGTCTGGAGGCAACATCAGTGGAAGGCCTTGTTGGAAGGCCTTTCTGCCTTTTTGTTGGCCCTCCAGAGGAACTGGTTGGCCACTGTGTGAGACAGGATGCTGGACTAGACCACAGGTCTGATCCAGCAGGATTCTTCTTATATTCTTATCAGGAGAAGGCCTCGGCCTCTCTGCCCTGTTGTTGGCCTTCCAGAGGAACTGGTTAATAATAGTAATAATAATAATCATCTTTCAATTTATTAATCGCTCAATCCTGCAGAGCTTGCTGGCTCTGAGCGATTTATAGTTACTCATTCACGTGGGACTAGCAATGATTTATGGGGGTAAGGGAGGACAACAGATATCTTTTAAATCACACACATTCACAGTCAGCGAGGGTTTGTTCAGCTGCAGGGTCAGACATATTCCGTCGGCATATTCACTTCGGTTTGGCTAGATAATGTCAGCTTCTCCAGGTCTTGCAGCGCCGCACTGCCACCGCCTGACCGGAACGACCCATTACAGGCTTCTCGAAGGCGAAGAGATTTTTTCTTAAGCTTTCGATCTCGCGAGCTGAGCATTACGGTCACCGGCTAACACCTCCCCCACCGGGGGGTCTCTGGTGTGCCCACCCTCTCTAAGGAGTGGTACCCATTTTATCTACTCGCCAAAGCTTTCGAACCGCTGGGTGGACGGCGAGCTAGGGACAAGGCTGGTAGCTCACACCAACATGGGGCTAGAACTGACAGCCGTACTGTTCAGCTCCGATGTTACTAACCAGAGGATAAATCCTCTGTGCCACCGCTGGATAGCTGCTGTGTGAGACAGGAGGCTGGACTAGATGGACCACTGGCCAGATCCATCAGGGCTTATGTTCTAGGCAGTAGGTATGAACTGGCTCTCAGGGCAGACAGAAGGTTGGACATGGTAAATAGCATCATATGAGTATTTTAGAGTGCCTGGTGAGCTTTACCAGAAGCTTCCAAAAAGTGACCTCCAAACTACACACCTTATTTTGATGTTATGTATGGAATGAGGAACAGATCTTTTGTGACAATAATTTCTAGGAGCCACTCAGAACATTTAAAAAAAAAAAAAAAAAGCAAAGGTGTCTTGGTTGTGCTCCGAAAGGAATAGGTAACGCCTTAGACTAGAGACTCTCCAAAGTGACCGTTTTCAAAACCAGTTGCGTTCTTCTGTCCCTTATGTGAAGAAGAAAGAATGTTTTGGGTAACTCCCACGAAAATGCGGAAGAACTCGAAAAAGCCCACGAAATGAAGGAAAAAGAAGCCACCTTGTAAGTTTGCTGTCGGCAGAGCAGCCGGACTCCGTCTCTGAATGATGCTTCCGCTTCTGTGGGTTGCGTTGGTTTTTTTTTGCATTCCTTTGTTTTCCTCACCCCCTGTGCCGCTGCATACAACAGCAGAGCCCGTTGAGAGCTAACTGTAGTCCGCTGGTCTGTTGGTGTCTGTCTGTATTTCATGTTTAACCTCTCCGCTTTGTGTTGTCTGCTGCCGCTGCTGTAGCATCGGAAGACAAATTGAACATGATGTCCTGTTGTGTTTAAGGGAAAAGAGATTGTGTCATTATGCTGCAAGGAATATTTGTCCTTCACAAATATTAGATTCACACCTGATGTGTCTTGTTGTTGTCAAAGGTATCAGTTTTGTGTCAGTTGGCAATGAGGTCGGATATGTATGGAAAAGTATTTACAGGGAATTTAAAAAAAAAAATCTTTCTTGAGGATAGCTTTCCCCAAGTTAGCAGACGTCGTGTCATGAAAGAAATGCAACTATATTTGTGATAATATTTGGGGTTATAGCTGTTGTTAGGGTGTCTGGGATATTTCCTTCCTTTGAATTGTGGCATGATGGATAAATATGTGGGGTAATAACTTCCGTCCATACTGGTCGGATCTCATCAGAGCTTGGAAGCTAAACCGGGTTGCCTATGGTCAGTACTGGAATATGAGACCACGGTGGACGACTAGGGTTGCTACGTGGAGGAAGGCGATGGCAAACCACCTCTGATCTCATCAGAACTTGGAATGATAATAATAGTTATTATTATCATCATATGGCATTGAGTGTAAAATAGCCAGGAGATCCTAAGATTGTCTGGCAGTGAGAAGTTCTAGCTCTTTTAGTGTTATTTATCGCTAGGTGGTGAGCTAGACTTGTTTTTAAGGCAAGAGACATTTCAGAGGTGGTTTGCCATTGCCTGTCTCTGTGTCTGACCCTGGTATTCATTAGAGGTTGCCCTTCCAAATACTAGCCAAGCCTGGCCCTGTTTAGCTGCCGAGATCTGACGGGATTGCGCTAGCCTGGGCTGTCCAGGTCAGGGCAGGACTTGGAAACTAAGCAGGCTCAACCACGGTTAGTACTTGGATGGGAGACCCCCAAGGAAGTCCAGGGTCCCTATGCAGAGGAAGGCAATGGCAAACAACTTACGTTCATCTATTACCTTGAAAATCCCACGAGGTGGAAGTTTGTACGGTCACCATGAGTTGGTTGCGACTTGATGGCACACTGTAGTAACATCTCGAACACTACAGCCCTAAGAGAAGAGAAGTGGGCGTCCATTAGTGACAAAGATATTGGAAACACAAGAGCCATTTGGGCTGCAGAGCTGGTGTCGTGGTTAGGAGCGCAGACTCTAATCTGGGGGAACCGGGTTTGATTCCCCACTCCTCCACATGCAGCTGCTGGTGTGACCTTGGGCCAGTCACAAGTGCGCTCAGCTGTTCTCTCAAGAGGAGTTTGCGGAAGAGCTCTCTCAGCCCCACCCACCTCACAGGGTGTCTTTTGTGGGGGAATGGAAGGGAAAGGAGATTGTGAGCCGCTCTGAGAGTCCTTCGGGTAGTGAAGGGCGGGGTATAAATCCAATCTCCTCCTCCTCCTCCTCCGGTTCTCCAGATTAGAGTCCGCCATTCTTAACCACTATGCCACGCTGGCTCTGCTGCCGTTTGAAAGCTAACATTCAAAGGCCTTATAAAATTTACCGAAGTATTGTCTTGGCATTGAGCTTTATGACCAAGGAGACGGTATGACGTGTCTTTATCCTTGTCAACAATCTACAGGTGTCTGGAATTCCTCCTGCAGAACGAGGCCAACCCCTCGATACAGGACAAAGAAGGCTACAATTCAGTGCACTATGCGGCCGCTTACGGACACAGGCAGTGTTTAGAACTGGTGAGTAGGCCCTGCTCGGGGTGGAGATGTAACATGCCAGAGCTACATTCCTGTTCACTTCACTCCACACAACCATTACTGTGATTCTTTTGAGACTTCGTCGGTGTTAGCTGTTTCTATATTTGCAGGCCAGGTGAAAGAAGTTATTTGGGGAGTCACAGCGGCTTAATGCATTGGTTCAGGCCGGGGGATTCTTCTTCACACAACACTTAATCGGATTTTCCTGATCCAAGATGGCTATCGGTCTAGACGTCTTTGTTGAGCTTCCCAGGGGAAATTGAGTTGGCCGTTGTGGGAGGGGTAGTGCTAGACCTTTGGTCTCTTTCAACAAGGAATAGTCCCCTGTGAGTCCCACGTGGTTATGTGGGAGTGCACAGGAGCGGAGCTCCGGCAGTAAGGAGCCCAGGGGGCGAGCACATGCAACAAGCCCCGCCCCTTGCTCCCAGCAGCCCTCAATCGGACCACGAGGAGCAAGAAGCAGCCAGGTAAGTTGCAGACCCCCCCCCCCCCGGCTCACCTTCAGGTACAAGCTCTCCCTCCTCTGTGAGTTAGCAATCCAAAACAGTCCAGTGGCACCTTTAAGACCAAGTTTTATTCAGGTACAAGCTCTCCCTCCTCTGCCAGGACAGATCTGCACGTCCCCGTCCCCCCAATAGCTAGCAATCCAGAACAGTCCAGTGGAGCCTGAGCGATGGGTGTTGCCTTCTGGCACACTTCCAGTGATGTCAGGGGGTGTAACATATGGAAATAAGTCATGCTAATGAGTTATGCTAATGAGCTCCTGCTCCTCTTTTTCTACGAAATGACCCCTGGTTGTATCTATGCTACATTCCAGCAGGCCGATTCAGGCGTTTTCTTCCCAGCAGACATTGGCAAATGAAGAAAAACAGTTCAAAACAGGGTTGCCGGCCCCCCCATCTGGGCGGGGTTTCCCCTGATTATCGGGGCTTCAGCCCACCGACATCCAGGTGGCCAGTGGGGGAAGCCCCGTCTCAAGCCTGACCACCTGGAGCCACCCCCTCCCGTCTCTCCTGAGAGATTTAAAGGGCCCTCTAATCAGCTGAAAGGGAGAGGGGTGGCCGTGGGTGATCGTTCTTGGGGGCGGGGACGCCTCCGACGTGACATCATCGCATTGGGAACACCACGCCCCCTCTGGAAACGCCCCCCCCCAAAGTCCCCCGCTGGGGACGAAGACAGCCCTGGCAACCCTAGTTCAAAAGAATAATTTTGAGTTAAGGGATTCTTCTTCAGGGAAAACTGAAACGGTTTCTTCAAATGAACTCCTTAAAGATCCACAGACAAAACAACTTGGAGGGGCACGACTAACTTCCAAGTGTCATCCGGATGGAAGTAGGCAGCTATATATTCCGGACAACCTGTAGGAACTCAGTGTGTCGGGGGGGGATATGGGGGGCTCAGCAACAGAGTGACATCTCTTCTGGGGCAAATCAGGCGGTGACCAGCGTTCCCTCTAAGCTGAGTTAACGTGAGCCAGCTGACTGTTTTTTAGCCTCTGGCGCACACATTCTTGTCTTTGCTCAGGACGGAGGGCTCCAGAGCAAACTGATTGATGCAGGAGCCAAATCGCTCGCTCACAGCTTTAATGCTGGTAGCTCACAAAGTAGAATTTTTGCTCACGAGACTCCACAGCTTAGAGAAGATACCAGGTTCAGAGCCCAACACCTCCATCTGATATGATACGAAAGACCTCTGTCTGGGACCCTGGAGAGCCACGGCCACTCTGAGTAGCCGGCACTGACCTTAATGCCAGGAGCTCACAAAGTAGAATTTTTGCTCACAAGACTCCACAGCTTAGGGGGAGCATTGGAGGTGACATCTGTCTTTATTATGGCCCACAAGCAGTGCTCCCGCTAAGCTGTGGAGCCTTGTGAGCAAAAATTCTACTCTGTGAGCTACTAGCATTCAAGTTGCGAGTGAGCAATTTGGCTACTCCATCAGTCAGTTTGCTCTGGAGCCCTCCTTCCTGAGAAAAGACAAGAATCTGTGAGCCAGAGGCTAAAAAACTGTGAGCTAGCTCACACTCACTCAGCTTAGAGGGAACGCTGACTGGCATTAAAGTTGTGAGCAAGCAATTTGGCTACTGCATAAATCAGTTTGCTCTGGACTGGAGCCCTCCTTCCTGAGCAAAGCCAAAAAACTGAGCCGGAGGCTAAAGAACGGTGAGCTAGCTCACACTAACTCCGCTTAGAGGACACACTGTCCACAAGCCATCATTATTTCCCACGGAGGTGCTGCCCCACTCCAGGCTGCTGGTGGCAGCGGGTGATAGCAATCGTTCCTGCTGCTTTCTGCCTCAGCCCAGTCGTCTCCCCAGCAGACGGGTTGGAGTCCTGAAGACATGAGGCTGCTTAGACTGACTCGGATCATTGGCCCGTCAAGGTCAGTGTTGCCTGCTCGGGCTGGCAGCAGCAGTCCAGGGTCTCAGATCCAGGTCTTCTCCATCACCTCCTCCCCTGTCCTTTAAACATGACGGGGATCGAACCTGGGGCCTCCTGCCCGCCAAGCAGAAGCTTTTCCACGGAGCCACAGCCCCTTTTGCTGTCAGCGACCTCAGAAATTCTCCTCCCGTGTCACCTGCAATAATAAAGTTGTGATCGTGTTTACACACACACATGAAGCTGCCTTGTACCGAATCAAGGTCAGTGCCGGCTACTCAGAGTAGCCGTGGCTCTCCAGGGTCTCTGGCAGAGGTCTTTCCTATCGTATCAAATGGAGATGTCGGGCATTGAACCTGCATGCCAAGCAGATGCTCTGCCACTGAACCACAACCCCTTCCCATAAAAATTAAGCTGCCTTATACTGAATCTGCTCTTGGTCTATCAAGGTCAGTATTGTCTACACAGACTCTCTCCAGGGTCTCAGGCGGAAGTCTTTCACATCACTTACTACCTGAGCCAGTTTGGTGTACTGGTTAAAAGCACACTCTAATCTGAGAGAACCAGGTTTGGTTCCCCCATTCCCCCACATGCAGCTGCTGGGTGACCTTAGGCAAGCCACAGTTCTCTCAGAGCTGTTCCCTCAAGAGCAGTTCTCAAAGAGCTCTCTCAGCCCCGCCTACCTCACAGGCAGTGTTCCCTCTAAGCTGAGTTTGTGTGAGTTAGCTCACAGTTTTTTAGCCTCTGGCTCACACATTTCTGTCTCAGCTCAGGAAGGATGGCTCCAGAGCAGACTAATTGATGCAGGAGCCAAATCGCTCGCTCACAACTTTAATGCCAGCAGCTCACAAAGTAGAATTTTTGCTCACGAGACTCCACAGCTTAGAGCAGGAGTGTCGAACTCATTTGTTATGAGGGCCGGATCTGACATAAATGAGACCTTGTCAGGCCGGGCCATGTGTGTCATAAAATGTAATGCCAGGTAGCGGAGATAACAAACTTTATAAAGGACACAAACACAAAGATTTTTTTTTACTTTAAAACATGCTTAAAACATTCGCTCTGTAAGCTGCAGACCTACTTTTGATTTATTAACATTCACCACAGAAATCTCATGCTCAGAGTTCTGAGTCTAGGACCCAGGGGAAAACACGAAATGGCTGAGTGATTAAGAGAGTCTGGCAGAGCAAGCTATGATGCAGCAGCGGCAGCAGAACTGGAAGCAGGAGATGGCCAGTCCCACCGCGGGCCTGATGGAAGCCCTCCAGGGGGTCTGATTCGGCCCCCGGGCCGCATGTTTGACACCCCTGGCTTAGAGGGAGCATTGCTCACAGGGTGTCTGTTGTGGGGAGAGGAAGGGAAAGGAGTTTGTAAGCCACTCTCCTTTGGGTAGTGAAGGGTGCGGTATAAACCCTATCTCTTCTCTTCTTCTTCTTTTAACTGGAGATGCCAGGGATTGAACCTGGGACCTTTGCCCCCCCCCCCAAATAAGGACAGGCTTCTACCTAGCGGCCTCTCTCAGCGGGGGGTCAGTGATAGAAAACCAATTTCGACTGCAGCCTCTACAAGCCAGAGCCACCCACCACTTTGGTGTAGTGGTTAAGTGCTCGGACTCTAATCTGGGAGAACCGGGTTTGATTCCCCACTCCTCCACTTGCAGCTGCTGGATGACCTTGGGCAAGCAATAGCTCTGCCAGAGCTGTTCTTAAAAAAAGAGCAGTTTCTGTCAAGAGCTCTCTCAGCCCCCCCTACCTCACGGGGTGTCTGTTGTGGGGAGGGGAAGGGAAAGGAGTTTGTCAGCCGCTCTAAGACTCCCTTGGGTAAGGAAGGGCGGGGTATAAATCCAATCTCTTCTTCTTCTTCTCGTTCTCATCACAGTTTGTTATGAGAGGATCGGGCTGAGAGATTTTTTGTGTGTGTGTCATTTTGTCTCCCTTCTGTCATGTCGTCTGGAAAATAAAGGCGACAGACTTAAATCATATGTCACACGACCAAAAAGGAACGGCTCCAATGGTTGAATGTCATCCGTTTCTATCTGTAACCAGCCATTCATAAAATGTTCGGGTGACAGACCCACGGATTTATGGATAATTATGCGTCTGTCATTCCTGCATTCTTTTACTGCACTAAAAATAGCCGCCGCCCCTTTTAGTCTGTGGGTAATTCGTTCAAGCCTTCATTAATCAGAAATAGTAACTGTTCGGTAATATTTCAGAGTCGTGGGTGAGATTAATATCACTAGACTGTATTGGCTTTTTGTTAACTGCCATTCCAAAGAAATGTCGTATTATAGAGCGATGGCTGTGAAATACAGATTGTTGCCAAAAGGAAAAGTGGAAGGAACTGGACTGGTAAAAATGTGTCTGGTGTTTGGAAGAGGCGAAGCAAATGTCCTTTTTTCAGAGCTCAGATTTCTTAATTGACCATTGGAAGTTAAGGGCTCTGTATTTTCCCTTTCAAGCACATAACATTTGTCCGTGGCATGTAATTTCCTGTTCTTGTTTTGTTCTGGGTTGGGTTTTTTCACTCAAAGAGAAAGAAAACACTACCTGAAGTGCAGTCCATGATGAGGAATAAAATATAAATGGGCTTCATTTACTTGCA